TTCTTTCTTTCTTTCTTTCTTTCTTTCTTTCTTTCTTTCTTTCTTTCCCTTCCCTCTTCTCCTTCCTCCCTCTTTGCTTGAGATACTGGCAACATTCAGGCACCCCTTCAAGCCACAAAAAAAAAAAAAAAACCCAAAAAAATCTCTAAAACACAACAGGCTTTATCTGGGAATTCCTCAAAGGCAAATCAAGCATTAACTGTTGTGTGTAAAACTAGCTGCAGCTATGCACAAAGTTTAGACTGACATTGGATTCTTAAAGAATCACGACTGACCCAGTTTCAAGACAACAATAAAACCAAGAGATGATCAAATATAAATAAATATAAACCCATGTCATATGGGAAATGGATGGTCTTCCGAGATCAGAGATGTATAACTTTCCATGGGGGAAGATTTAAGATGCACTCCCAAAACTCACCCAAGTTTGGTAAAACTATTTTTTGCAATTAAGTCTCATTACGCTGAGCAGTTTTCTTATCTCACATTATAAATTGCAATTGGGTAGCAACTTCAGGATAGATGCAGGCTGCATAAATCTCTTAAAGCCCTCGTGTCCTTCAGGTGTGAACATGCCAGATGTGTGTGTGGAGGGGAGATTTCTTTAACATGGCACAAACCTGCTCAATTCCTAAAACAAGTGTGCAAACACTGTCCAGTCTTAGTAGCAAAGCACAGCCAGAGAATCAAGTTTAGCAGTGGTCCAATTACTGGATGAAAATCATTCATGTATGGGTGACTTCTTAGAGTATCTTCTGGTGCAGTGTTTCTCAACCTTGGTCAGCTGAGGAATTCTGGGAGTTGGAAGTCCACACATCTGGAAGTGGCCAAGGCTGAAAACTGCTGCTTTAAAGTCATCCAAATTTCATTGTAGACACCTTTATATCAGCAACAGTGGCTGGGCAATGCTATGAAAGGTGCTGTCAGTTGCTGGGATGGTAGGTGATGACTTGGGGCAATGTTTATCAACCTTGGCAAGCTCATCAGTCTGGAACCCGCATTACGTATCTGATATTAACACAGTTGAGAAAGTCCAGAAATATTTCACAAGAAGAGTTCTCCACTCCTCTACTCATTGCAGAAGAGCTTATGCCACCAGACTCGAAAGACTTAGAAAACCTAGAACTACGCCGTCTTCGGTCCGATCTAAGTATAGTATATAAAATCATACATTGCAATGTCCTACCTGTCAATGAATACTTCAGCTTCAACCATAACAACACAAGAGCAAACAATGGATACAAACTCAAGTTTAACCGCACCAAACTTGATTGCAGGAAATACGACTTCAGCAACAGAATGGTCAATGTCTGGAATACTCTACCTGACTCTGTGGTTTCTTCCCCAAACCCCAAAACCTCTAACCTTAGACTGTCTACTATTGACCTCACCCCTTTCCTAAGAGGTCTGTAGGGGGCGTGCATAAGCGCACCAACATGCCTACCGTCCCTGTCCTATTGTTTCTTTTATTATTTTTCTTATATGTATCCATGTATCCATAACTATGTTTATACTTATACCTGTTATCTTATAATTGCTTGACAAAATAAATAAATAAATAAAATAAATAAAACTTGAAGTTGGGTGAACTTCAACTCCCAGAATTCCCCAGCCATTCTGGGAGTTGAAGTTCACCCATCTTCTGGTGGAAAATAAAGGTTTGAGTAGAAGAGATAATTAACCAGAAAGTAGAGTTCAGACCAGAAACATTCTTACTGGGAATTATTAATGAGAAATACAGTAAAGGAACAATATACTTAATGATACATATAATAACAGCTGTGAGATTGGTGTATGCCCAAAACTAGAAGAATGAAGATACCCCTACAGAAAGTGAAATAATAAGGAAAATATTAGTCTGTGCAGAGATGGACAGGCTAACTTTAGAAATCAAAGATAAGAGTGAGACAGATTATTATGAGGTCTGGAGTAAAATGTATCAATGGCTGGAGTCAAGGAAAAAGAAAGAAAGGGTTGACGCTTTATAGGAATGAAAGTTAAAGTTTTGTAAACCAAAGAGAATGGAATATAATGGACAAATATGAGATGATACGAGTGCATGAGTATAAAAGATGGTTGTAAATATGCATATAATTGTATGTAAATGTAAATAAATGTAAATAGAAATAATATGCAGCTAGCACTATACTAATAACATAAGGGAAAAAGGAAATTAATTGTTATGTGTATCTCTATACTATAGCTTGTAAGGCCAAAATGATGGGCAAGAAAGTCGCACTATGTTCCATTGTTTTTAATGTTTATTCAATAAAATTTATACAATAAAATAAAAAATAAAAAAAAGAAGTTCATCCATCTTCAAGCTGTCAAAGTTGAGAAACACTGAACTAGGACTTAAGTCATCAGCCTTAGACATACCCCAGAAATTCAGGTAGGTGACTTGGGCCCAATCTTATTATTTTCCCTTAATCCATTTCACAAGACTGTGGTTGGGGGTCATAAACTCAGGGAAGACCCCACTCCTTTCGAGTGCTGAGCAAAAGGCAGGACCTCAATTCAGTGAAGGAATAAAACCAAGAAGTTGCCACAAGTAGCAGTCGTGACCCAAGGGCTCCATTTGGGATTATGCATGTTCGTTCTTGATTTCCCAAGAACTGGGTGACTCTCTGACTTGCTGAAAGCCCCACGAGACAGCACTGCAGGTTTGGGACTTGGGGTCTTTCAAGTTGTCTGGATACGGAATTTTCCAGACATCCAAACCATGGCTTCAATGTTAGGATCAAGCCAAAATGTGGCTTCCTAGACTCTACCTTTTTCCAGGCTTAGTTCAAAGGGTAAAACTGGATCTTGGTTTATTTACAGATTTGATTTCCATGGCTGCCCATCTCACCTACAACCATCACACACACACACACACACACATATATACACACACCTTGCTTAAAAGAAAGCATGGTAGACAATCCTAAACTTACGACCACAACGGAGCCCAAAATTTCTGTTGCTAAGTGAGACAGGTATTAAGTGAATTTTGACCCGTTTTACAACCGTTCTTGCCACACTTGTTAAGTGAGTCGCTGCGGTTGTTAAATTAGTAACACCGTTGTTAAGTGAATCTGGCATTGACTTCTGCTTTTCAGAAGGTTGCAACAGTGGATCACATGACCCCCCAGGACATTGCAACCGTCATAAATGTGAATCAGCGCCTGAATTTTGATTGTGTGACTATAAGGGATGTTGCAAGTCACTTTTCTCCAGGATGTAACTTTGAATGGAAACATTAAAGGAACTGTTGTGACACAAAAATAACAAAGTCACGAAAGCAGAATAAATTCCCTTTAATGCCCCCAAATTGGCCCCAATGTCCAATTATCCTTGGCTGGAGATCAAACTCTTCCAAAAACAGTCTACAAAGGGAAGAAATGCAGTCCAAAACCAAAGTAAAGATAATTAGAAATAAAAAAATCCCAACACAAACCTCACTGAAGAAATTAACACGACAGGCCAGGATGATAAAATTGCAGGCTTTCAAAGGATAACACAAGCAGCCACAGTTGGGAGGATGCCAAAACTCAGATAAGCCTGGACCAAGATAATGCAGGCTTTGCTTCCAGCAAGGTACTGTGTGCGAACGCCCCACTGTTCTCCCAGCTGCAACTAGTGAAAGGGATCAGGGCCCTTTTCTCTCTCCTAAGCCACGTGGCTCCCTTCTCCGTTCCTCCTTGCATGCCCTAGGATGAAGAGGGGATGGGCCTGGGTCTTCCTCTGAATGCCCAGCTGGACTTTGCCCTCCCCCCGTTTCTTCCACAGCCACGGGAGCCACACTCCCACTCCCTTGTCAGCTGCTCGACCTCCCCCTCAGAATCAGACTCCAACAAGGGCACGAAACTCCCTGTATAATGCAACCCATGGTACCAGAAGATGAGAGCAGACAAACTGTATGGGGTTGAATGCTTCCAGCATGCTCAGTGTTTACAAAGGAGAAGTTCTCTGCCTCCAGGGAAGGAGGGAAGCTTCTACCAGCGATGTAATTCACCCATCCAAGGCACTACTAGATAGATGTTCCAGTTCCCACGTGAAGCATCTCCACGGATGAAAAAGTCTTGGGTCAGCGCAAAATTGAGCTAAGGACACACAGATGGTGCGCCACCCCAGGGGGGCTGATATGGCAAATGTTTCCTGAAGACATTTGCCTCCCAAGACCCCCTTTTTAAAGGGAAATTGAGAGGATAAGAAAAGTAGGTCACCCGTCTTTACAAGAGACTTCCAAAACGACTCTTCTTAAATGCCGCTTTGCCAGAAACCATAACTTCTCATTTTCACCGTGAATTTAAGCTTCCCATTTCCAGCTGAAGAAAAAGTGCAGAAAAAAGGAAGCTGCCAAACCCCACAAGGACTATGCTGTGAAGAAGCAGAAGAGCAGCCTGCAAATGCTTTTAGGTTATGAAGACATATGCAAGGACCCCAAAAGAGGCACTTGGATCAAACTTTCAAAACACAATGAAATCCTCCGCCGGCTCTTTATCAAAGGCTCCAGCACTGCTCAAAGAGAGGAAGACCACCACTTCTCCTCCTGGGATGGAAATCACTTGGTGGCAAATCCCGCCCACCCTTCATGTACTTGGGGGGCCCCTCAAGGCAGGACTGCAGAATCTTCCGCCTGTCCAGACCTGTTGGGGTCTGCATTCCCAAGGTGAGTGGGACTGGAAGCAAGGGAGGGGGGGGGTTATTGAGGGGGGAGGGTGTCCTCCTGGTTCAGAGTGCAAGAGGAGGTGAGGGAGACCTTTGTTTCCAGGCCCATCCTCCCCCCTCCCCAGAAGTCCCCTTCTGCTTGGGAGCCAGCCCGGAGCCAAAAAGGGGGATGGGTTTTAAATGGCACAAAGAATGGAGGGGAGGGGGATCGTGGCCCAACAGACAGGCCCATCAGCAGCTCCGTCTCCAGAGGTTTCATTGCCCCAACCTGTCATTTCCAAATGGCTTTTGGTGGGAGTCCCAACTTTTTTCAGTGCCAGCATGGAAGGACTCCAACTCACATTAGAGTAGGGGTCTCCAAACCTTGGCCACTGGAAGCCTGGGGGGACTTCAACTCCCAGAATTCCCCAATCCAGCTTTGCTCTAATGCAAGGGTCTCCAACCTTGGCCACTGGAAGCCTGGCGGACTTCAACTCCCAGAATTCCCCAGCCAGCTTTGCTCTAATGCAGGGGTCCCCAACCTTGGCCACTGGAAGCCTGGGGGGGATTTCAACTCCCAGAATTCCCCAATCCAGCTTTGCTCTAATGCAGGGGTCCCCAACCTTGGCCACTGGAAGCCTGGGGGGGCTTCAACTCCCACAATTCCCCGGCCAGCTTTCCCCAGGTTGGAATCTCCAACCAGTGGCCAAGGTTGGAGATTCCTGGTTTAGGCACAGATGTTGGCTAAGACCAGGCAGAATCTGTCCAGTCCAGCTTTCTTCCACCCTGTCTGTTGGGAAAGTGGAGGTCCCTGCTCCTATATAACCAGGTTTGTTTAGTCTGGCCAGGCTACATCACAACTTCACACCAAGGGAAGGCCGACCCACAACCTTCGCTAAAGTGCCCGTCCGTCCCCTTTCCCACGGGGCGAGAGTGCGGGTGGGCCCGAGGGGGGCGGCCCAGGGACCCCCGCCAGCCTTCCCCCCCCCCCCCCCGTCCCGCGCCCGGCAAGCCGCCTTACCTGAGCCGCACAGCCGGCTGAAGTGGTAGGGGTTGCAGCAGACAGTGGGCCCGTCGGGGAGGCCGAAGCGCCGGCACTCGCACAGCGGCTTCAGCTCGGCGGGGCCCTGGAGGTCCGGCCAGCGGAAGAGTTTGCCCAGGAGCAGCTGCGGCGGGGCCGGCTGGCCTCCCAGCCTAACCTCCAGCTCGGCCCGGGAGACCAGGACGCAGGCGCTGGGCAGCCCTCCGCGGGACTCGACGGCCTCCAGCAGAGTATCGAGGGCGCGCTCCTTGAGGCGCTTGAGGAGCGAGTAGGTGAGGCTGTTCAGCTCCTGCTCCAGCGGCGGCGCCAGGCGGGAGCGGCCGTCGAGGCAGGAGGCGCCGTCCAAGGGCCGCTCCTTGAAGAGGCAGCAGCCGACCGCCTGGGCCTCGCTCTCCGGAGCCCACCCGCCGGCTTCCTTCTCCGCCTCCTGCGCCGCTGCCTCGGCCGCCTCCTCGAGGTCGCCGCCGCCGCCGTCGCCGTGCACCATGGACCCCGCCGCCGGCTCCTCGACGGCGCCTCCGCAGGTCCCCGGCCGCCTGGCCTCGCTCCCGCTCCCGGGCTCCTCGCTCTGCCCGAGGAGGCTGCTGCTCTTGCCCGCATCTCCTCCTCCGCCGCCGCCGCCGCCGCCGTCGGGGAGCAGCCGGCTTCTCCAAAGGCGCCGCACAAGCCCTGCCCGTTTGGACCGGAACATGCGCTTCGGCCGGGCTTTGCCCTTCGCCTGGCTCCGGGTCAGACCCTCCCGGGCGGGCGCCGCATGGAGGGGAGCCAGCGACGGCGTCGGCGGCTGCTGCTGCTGCTGCTGCTGGGGCTGCTGCTGCTACCGCCGCGGCGTCGGCGGCCGGAGCAAAGCCTCGCACGGCCGGCCCAGCCAAGCGCCGAGGGTCGGCAGCCGCGCTGCCGCATCAGGAAGCGCCGCAACGGCATAGAGCGGCAGCCCCGAAAGGCCGACGGCGCGTGGGAAGCAGCCCGGGCCGCCGCCCGCCCCCTCGGCTCTCTCTCTCTCTCTCGCTCTCTCTGCGGCAAGAAGAAGACGCCGGCGAGCCCGCGACGGCTCCTTGCCCGGAGGCCGCCCCCTCCAAGCGGCTCGGTCTGCTGCTCTCCGGCTCGGCTCCCTCGACGACGACGACGGGCGGGAGAAGGGGAGAGTCGGGTCGGGTGGCGCGCTCTTCTTCCTCGGCCACGCTTTACCAAGTTGGCCGGACTTGGCCGGGCAACAGCCGCAAGAGGCCGCCTCCCGGGCTCGGACGCCGGCCGGAGGAGCCCGGCATAGCTGGCTCGGACGCCGCAATCGCCTCCCTCGTCCGTCCCGGGCCGGGAGCGGCGACGCCGCGGCGGCACTGGGGGGCCGTCCACGCGCGGAGGGGAGCCCGGCGGCGGCTTCCCCGGAGGAGCGAGGCGGGCGATCGCGGCGCTCCCTGCCCGCCGCCGCCGCTGCTGCTGCTGCTGCTGCTTGTACCGCCGCCGCCGCCGCCTTCTTCTTTTTTTTTTTTTGTTCTCCCGCCCGGAGCGGGTCGGGGCCCCCCTGGCCGAGCGCGGAGTCATTGGCTCCCTCCCATCATGTGCCAGTCTAGACACTTTGGCGGCGCGGGAGGGTTGCGCAAACAAGCGCTCGGGTTTCTTCCCTCTTAAAGGAAAACGCCTCTCGGCCGCTTTGGGGACGGCGCGGATCCCCGCCTGGCTTCTCTCCGCGCCCTTTCACCCCCCCACCCCACCCCACCCCCGGGGAAAGGAGGGCAGGGAGGCCAGCCGGAGCCGGAATGAGACGGGTTGGGGGGGAAAAGGGGGTCTAGGGAGGTCTTCTAGTCCAACCCACTGCTCAGATGCCGTGGCTTCTGGGAGGGGAGCCCTGGCACTGGGAA